AACTGTCAGCCTTACTCTGTACTGCTCAAGAAACAAATTTTTCTGCACTCAAAGAAAGAATAATAATCAATTCCCTAAGTTTTCCTCTAACCTGGTGTATAATCAAGTGACACAATTCTTCCCTTTCTCCTCCTGAGAAAATATCTGGTTGTTGGTTAGGCATCACAATCTCAACTCTAAATTGCCCATCTTTTGGAAGACAACCCTGAGTGCTATCACTAAGCACAAAGACACATTGAAAACAAAAAACAATCACTGTACAGTTTGGTAAATTAACCAGCAAGTTTGGTTATTAACCAAAAAGTGATGTCACCTCATTCTGCTCATCCTCCCAAATCCAGAATTCATCGGTGCATTTATCTCCTGTTTGCCACTAACACTCCAAACATATAAAACCGAGATTACAAAGAAACATCACCTCTGTGACTACTTACGTACTACATATAAGCAGACTAATTTAAAACTGCCCCATTTTTCTCATTTACAAGTACTTAGTCCAGGCTAGCTATCCATACTAATACTAGAGAGTTTACTACTGAATTTAACAAACTCAGATGAAGAAAAATAAGTGCTTTAATAAGAATAAACAGTGCCTTATAGAAGGTACCAACTGTGAAATTCAGTTTTTATTTATAGAATGATATAATATGCTAAACTATCTACATCATATCTAATAAAATTCTTAATTACTAATAATAATGTTAATACTGAGAAACTTGGTGAATAAAAATCTTGGTTGAGGATTAATGTTTTAGAGTATTTTAAGTGCGAGGTGCTGGTGGCTCAAGTCTATAATCGAAGCTGCTCAGAAGACAGAGATCAAGAGAATTGGGGGTCAAAGCCAGCCCTGGGGCAAATAGTTTGTGGGGCCCTATCTTGAAAATATCCAATACAAGAAAGGGCTGGCAGAGTGGCTCAAGTGGTAGAGCACCTGCCTAGCAAGTGTGAAGCCATGTGTTCAAACCCCAGTATCACAAAAAAAAAAAAGAGTATCTTAAATAGGTAGATAAGTAAAATGAAAAGTACTTGAAATTTTGATTGTTTCATTCACAATTATACCACCAGCAAACATAACAATTATAAGAGACTAGAAAATTATTATTTTTATTTATTTATTTTTGTAGTACTGGGGCTTGAACTTAAGGCCTCTTGAGCTACTCCACCAGCCCTTTTTTGTGATGGGTTTTTTCAAACTAAGGTCTCTCAAATTATCTGCCTCGGGCTGGCTTCAAACTGCAATCCTCCTGATCTCTGCCTCCTAAGGATTACAGGCCTGAGCCACCAGCGCCCAGCAGAAAATTAAATTATTTAACATACTATTAAGCACATACTATAAAATGCATACAGTATTGGGACGCTTTCAAACAATCACAGACACCCCACATACTCTGCATTCCTACAGCACTTCCCTCTAAAGCACTGTAGCACTTAATATACTATAGGTTAATAATCTAGAAATGATACATACTACCTTTTGAATATATTATGTAATTATTAAATTATAATCAAATTAAAACTATAAATTGAAGTTCTAATATTTTATTCCCATTCCTTATAGGTAGTCTTGTATACACATTGATGTATATACATTTCAGTAGATAGCAGTGACCCAGGCCATATGATCCTAGAAGGTCTTGACTATCTGTTTCCTCTGTGCCATATTTATAAGCCAGAGTTAGTTTAAAAAAAAAAAAAAATCACTGAATGAGCAAAGGAACACTCAAAAATAAGAACCATGCCTATAATCCCAGCACTTGGGAAGCTGACGCAGGAGGATCAAAAATTCAACATCAGTCTGGGATACATAGTGAATTCAAGGGCAACCTGAACTATACATTATCGAGACCATATCTAGAAAAAACAAAAGCTGTAGCTCAGTTGTGGCATACTTGCCTAGCATGCACAAGACTCTACTAGGTTGGATCCTAAGCACCACAAAAAGGGGGGTACGGGACTAGAAGAAATTCACCCACTATACATATAATTCTTTTAAAAGTTTGTTTCTTTTTTGTTTTTTGAAAGAGGATCTACGTAACCCAGGCTGGCCTCGAACTTGTGACTCTAATGCATCAGTGTCCTGAGTACTGGGATTATGGGCATTAAGAAAAAAAAAAAAAGAGCATTTTAATCCAGCCAATTCTTTCAAAAGAAAGGGAGGGAAGAAGGAAGAGGTTTATAATCTTCAATTTCCAGAAAGACGAACAGAAGGAGAGAGAATTAGGGAAAAAAAGACTCTTAAGGTTTGAGTTCTGAAATGTTAAATTCCAAGTAATCTTTCAATGTTTTCTGAATGCTTGGTCTAAGGATTTAGAATATATTTTTAAGACTACACAAGCTACAAACAGATGCAATAAGGTGAAATAAAGAGATTCAGAACACAGCTGCTAAAATTATATCATTAACTACATTAGTACACTTCCCTAGATAACGCACTCTATAACAAGTTAAACTCTCTCATGTTCTACTGAAGATGTTTAAGATAAACTACTACTAACATATCTCATAAAAATGTTTAAAGGTACACTTTTAGAAAACTGTTAAGATTTATATAACTGACACATTGTCTAGCCAAAATAAGATGCAAACCCAATCATCCTAATTTCTAGAACTTCTAAAATGTGAGTCACTAAAAAGCCATTTCATTTCAGGTCCAGTAGGTGTTATCTGTCATTAACATAACACTTCATTTCTATGTACCACTTTGCAAGATAAACTGCAATTTCATGTTGGTTTGTGGTAATATACTGTACTATTTTTAATGCTACTTAACTACAGATATTCAGTAGATAGTGTTCAATAATTTTAATTGAAGCCAAGGGGGCAAATAGTTCAGTAGTTTTATCAAGTTTCATATAACACACATTGAAGTACTGTGTTTGTCAAATCCTATCTCCTCCATTCACTTTTACAATTTAAATAAGTAAATAAAACTAATTGATGCAGGCGTTAGTATTTCTGTAGATTATTTGAGTGCCCAAAAGAGGTTCTCAAACCATTTGTTTAGCTCCAGCAGAAGCTCTATAAAAACTCTCTATAGCCTTACTGAAACTCTGTACAGCCTTACTGAAGTTCAACATTTACCTGAGTAAACAGTATCATGTTTAAGAGTTACCCACTTTTTTTAAAAGGCACCTGATTTACATTTAGAAATGCTATTTTATCAGCTTGCTCCTCTTTTTGCTTTAATTTTCTTCTTCAGCAAAACTGATTTTAAAAAAAAGTGCAAATAATCTTTACTAAGGTTTTAACAAATATTTTGCTACCTCTTGAAATACATGTTTTTTAATTCAACAGGCAGTATTTCATAACAAATTAAACAAAAACTTTTCATCAGATAAACGTAAAACACATCAACTTCATTTATATTTAAATACAATCTTTGGTATGAAATGAAGCAGGCTCGAGTGGGAATAAAAGCTTAACTTTAGAATTTCTTAATGTCATGTACATCAGTGATACTTAAACACTTCTGAAACTTGAAGCTGTAAATCAGTTTGACTGATGTCCTCTTTTCACGCCTTGTAAGCCATTGCCTAATTGAGGCCAGACCTGTCAGGCTCGACAGCATCCCGGAAATGACTAGCCTACTAGAGCTGGAAACACATCAAGAATTTGGAGTATTTCTCATAGTGAGGCAGGGGGAAAAAAAAAAGTTCAGATGAAATTGTGCTTAAAAACAATCATTAATTATGCTGCTTCCCCCCTCCCCACCAAGGGTGGGGGGAACGATACAACATAAAAGGCGTATTTTTGTTATTCAGGTAAGTGCACAAGCAAAACCCCAAATTCTGTATCTCATTATCAGGTGATGGTACACTGAACTTATTCTTCTTCCTATATATGAACAAGAGTTCGATCTTAAATTCTCATTTTGAATGCCTGTCGTTAAATCTAATTGTCGTTTTATATCCTTAGCTACTAAAACCGCTTGGAGCATGGCTGGTATGACTTAGAAACCTGTTAACAGTAATGCCTAGCACCTAATCTGCTTAATGCTTTGCACTTCTAACCAAAGAAGTCCATTAAATGTCGAAAAGAAATACAAGCACCACACAGATACACACACTCAAATCCCAGTCATGAAAAATTAAGTCACATTCCGGCCATAAACTGTGCAATAGACACTTGCAGTTAGCCTGTGCTCTGGTGATCATGGACAACAGTATCAGGCTGAGTGGTAGGGGGTTAGGGCTGTGAACATTCTGTGCATCCAAGCCAACAGCAGCAGCAGGCCAGTCTCTAAAGGGAGCTGTAACACAGTATCACAATGCTGGATTTCCGAATGCCATTTTATGAAGGGAGCGGAGTAAGAACTGGAATCAAGGGAACGTTGAAGAGGTGAAACCTAAGACAAGGTGTGGTGGCAACCCCAGCTGTCCAGTCTCAAACACGTAACTTCATTTCAGGTCGTTCTGATCAAAGTCAGCCGCTCAAAGGGTGAGGGGTGGCAGGAGTGGATGGATGGCTAGAGCTCTCAAGAGGCGAGCGAAGGCCCTCAGAAAAGCGGAGGCTCCCCAATAGGACTGGGTTTCAGAAAGCAGAGGGACGAGCGCTTTGCGGCCGCCTCCTCGCTCTCTTTCATCCAAGGCTAGTAGGGATGAGCTTAAGATATCGCTGGACGTTTTCATGAAGGAGTGATAGGGGAAAATGGCAGTGAAGGATGAGGGGGGCTAGAAGAGCTGGAGCCACCCTAAAAAGGTGGAGAGAAGGACTTCCCCGGACAACACCACCGGAGGGCACCGGCATTGCCCTGTCAGCGCCAGAACACCCCTCTGCCTGGAAAAGCTTCGCTCCCTTCCATCCGGTCCCAATTCCCAAGCACTGCTTCCCACCGACCTCTCTCCCCAGAAGGCTCCCCACGGCTGGCCTCCTTTCCCTTCCGCCACAGGCAACCCACGCCCTCAACCTCCCCTCCCTTCCCGGTCACCCACCCCCCACCCCCACCTCGGTCAGCCCGTCGCTGGCCTCCCCTGCAGCTCGCCCAGACCCCTCCCCCTCACCTCTCCTCAGCGCCTCCTCGTAGCTGAGGAATCCGATCCGTGACTCCTTGGCGCCCATACTCCCCTCATCCCCTCAGCCGGGGGTCGGAGCCTGGTCTCGCCCCTACCCCCTCCTTCCCGCCTTCTCCGCGGCGTCCCTAGCTGACGGTGTCGGCGTCCCTGGCCCCCTCCTCCCCCAACACTAACAAGTGCGGTTTCTGCCCCGGCGGCTCCTCCCGGCGGCCGCCACCACCTCCATGCCGAATCACGTGACCCGCTCCCACCCCGCCCCCTTCTCCTCCCTCTTACTCCGCCCTTCTCCTCTCTCCTCCCTTCCCTACACTCCTCACGCCCTCTTTCCTCTCCTCGGGCCCCCTCCCTCCAGCCCCGCCAAGGGTCACCTGACCCGAGGCCAGGGACTATTCCGGGTAATGGCCGCCCGGGGCCACACTCCGCCCCGCCCCACGCTAGCTGCGCGCAGGATCGCAGGGGAGGGGCCACGTTGCCTACGTCATGCGTCATCCCTCCTTTCCTGCCAATCCGAGGCCGTGAGCTCCGCCCTTTCGCCTCTGCCGGTAAGGAGGGCGGTGACTTCCGGGGCGCTCAAGGACTGGGCTTCCCGCTTCAGGCTTCTGGTGCTGGTTCAGGGCTGGGGTGGGAGGGGGGTCCCGAGCATTAGCCGTTGGTGGGGCCGCGGAAGGCATCCACTTTGGAAGACAAGTGGAATGTTAAGGAATGGGGTCTAAGGAGTGCGGTTCGTGACAGAAAGGAGCGGGCAGGGCAGGCGGGGAGCTCCTAATGTAGAGGGGATTTGGGGCTGCGAGGAGGTTGTGAAAGGAAAGGGGACTCTCGAGGCTTTGCTGTGATGAAAGAGCTCTTACTCATCAGGGAGATCCCTAAGGAAAGTGAGCCCGGTGTCAAAGTCGAACGTGGTATCCCTGTCCCCCGTCGCCCCTAGCTTTCCAGTGGCCTCCGCTGGCCCGGCCGTCCTCGGCCTCTTTCTTGAGCGTCTTCTTTGGGAACAGCTCTGCAAAAGGCTTTTCTTGTTTGACCCCAAGAGTTGCCTTCAAGAAATTGGGCAGTTTCAAGGCGGAGAAATTTCCTTTAAAAACATTTAGTTGTTAAAAAAAAAAAAACATTTAATTGTGGTAAAATGTATGTATCAAAATATACAATTTTAGAACCAGGCGCCACCCAGGAGGCAGAGATGGGGAGGATCACGGTTCGAGGCCAGCCCAGGCAAAAATAGACCGTATCTCGAAAATACCCAACACAGGAAAAGGGCTGGAGGAGTGCCTCAAATGGTAAGAGCACCTGCCTAGCAAGCGTGAGGCCCTGTGTTCAAACCCCAGTATAACATAATAATAATAATACCATTTAAACCATTTTTAAGTGACTTAAGAGTCATTGAGTACAAGCATTACCATTCGTCTCCAGAACCTATTTCATCTTACAGAACCGCACTCCTACACCAGTTGATGGCGACCCTCTGGACCTGTATTTCTCCTCGTGTGACTAGTTTATTTCACTCCATGTGCCTTCCAGGCTCATCGTCTTCTAGCCAGTGTCAGACTTCCCCACGTCTGCCTTGTGATCTATCAATTTCACTTCTGAGCATATACCCCAAAGAATTTTTTTTTAAGGGAGAATGTAAAAAATTTTGTTTAATGAAGGGATGCAAGCAGCTATCTGTACACCCATATTTATAGCAACATTATGTCAAAGTCAAGTGTCCTGGATGGGTAAATAAATAATTATACAATGGAATTTTTTTTTTCTCTGCACTTTAACTCATTTGCTTTTGTTAAGTCTTCACCCTGAAAGTCAACAACATTAAAGCTTCTGGACAAGAAAACAACATGAAAAATAACCATTTGGATTAGATTAGACTCAAGGTGGCAATTAGGTAATTTAGGGCTAGCAAAAGGATTTTAGTCCCTAAAGCCAACAGAGAAGATAAAATTCCTACTCACCTTTCCTGGCAGACCAGATCAGCAGCGTGGCATTAGTCACAGTGTTGCCCTTTCCAGTTCACTGTGAAGCAGTTAATTTTTAGACCTCAGATTAACTGCATTACTAAAAGGCCTGAATCAGGGGGTTGGGAATGTATGTTAAGCCTTTAATTTCCAGGTCATTAAATCTATGTAATAGCCAGCTTCTTCAGACAAAACAACTTGGTCATATTCAGCCTGCACAGTATGGGTTCAGAGTTAGATTATCGTGATGGGAAGTGGATCTAAAGAAAGAGCTCACCTGTGAGGGACGACTCTTAGTTACACTGCAACAAACTGCAGAGATTATTACTGTCCTAGTCAGTACCTAAAATGACCTTCCCGCACATACAGGCTTGAGTGTGGTGACCAGATTTATAGTGGAGTTGGAAGCAAACTATTTTCTCTCTGTGGCACCTTTCCCCTCTTGAAAGTTGGGACTAAGTGCTGGAATTTATTTCATGAGATAGTAAATTATTTATTTAAATTATTACAAAATCTTCGGGAAAGAATAGAATAAAAACCATAATGTAACATTTAGAGCAGTACTAACATGCAGGAACTAATTTTCTCTCCATCAGAGTTTATCATAGATTAAACATTTATAATTGTGAGTTGAGATAGCAAACAAAAACTATTTCTCCTTTAAGTTAAACTAAATATATTGAAGGCAGTGAGGGTGGTAAGTTATGTCTGATGAGAGTTTTAAATGTTAAGCTGGGACCAAATCCTGCCTTTTGGTTTGTGTTACATATCACCAGGCAGACATATTTTAAACCCTCTTTAACTTAAAAATTGATACAGTACTTAAGTTTGATGATGTAGAAAATCTAAAGTCTACTTGTCATGCTAAAGGGAATTCTATTAATCATTTAGTTGGTTCAGTTTCACTTAGTCCATCAAAGAGTTCACCAGCCATCTCACTTTAAGCATTAGCTTGTGCCTAAGAAACCATTGCTGTAATTACATGCCTGTGAGAGAGTTGTCCAATACAAAAATTTAAAGCATGGTAGGTTGGTATGTAATTTCTACTTCCAGCTGGGCAATCTAAATGAAGTGTTCCTGAGTTTGTACTCCCAGAAAATGACATAAGAATAGAAGAGAGTCACTATAGCACTTGCCAAAGTCGTTTAGCTAAGCTACAGACAGGGAGGCCAGTACAATAAAGCAGGATGGAATAGCACCTGATCTATCTATAACATGATTGACTCAACAAGCAGTCAGTGCTCCATGAAGTGTGGCTCTCCAATAAAAGAACTGATTTTCTAGTATGGACTTGTTAAATGAGGATAGAGTCACTTGTATCATTTTATTTGCACTTTAAGCTATTTTATGCAAATAATACATGCTCATTTAAAAAAATATTGCCATCAGTACTTAAGTCTATAATATAGAAATTACTTCCTGCTTCACACAGTCCCTAGAAATAATTATATCCATGCATATAAAATATACAGGTGTACTGTTGTCCCTTTTTCATACATTTTTCATAGCATACATACTGAACTGCAGTTTTTAATTTTCCTCATCTATGTATCTCAGACTGTTTTTAGGTAGATCTATTATTTTAACAAATATGTAATATGCCGATTGCATGTATTTATATAATTAATTACCTATTGATGAACATTAGATTGTTTCAAGTCTTTATGTATTGCATTGTTGCAATAAGCATTGTAAACAAATAGTGTCTTTAATAAGTACTCTGCACAATCCAGGTACAGTGGTGCATGGCTGTAATCCCAGCATTTGGGAGTCTGAGGCAAGAGGATTTCAAGTTTGAGGCCAGCCTCAGCTACATAGCAAGACCGTATCTCAAAAAACCCCTTACCAAAAAGGGCTGGTGAAGTGGCTCAAGGTGTAGGCTCTGAGTTCAAGCCCCAGTACTGAAAAAAAAAAAAAAAACACCTAAAATTAGCAAGATTTCAATAGGGGCTATTCCCTAAGATAACTAAGCTAAAACTATGAATGGGAAAGAAGTAAATATTCAGAATAAGAACTTCTAACTTACACCTACTATAGAGGCTCTTTTTTTTTTTTTCCATGCTTGGAAAACAGTTTACACTGCCCACTGAATCTGTGAGTAAATGTTTACTCTTTTATACTCCTATATTGCCCTTCTCTTCCCCAAATGCAATGAAATTATATTTTTGTCTCTTTCAAATTAGTAGTTTACAGGGTTAAGGAATGGGTCTTATGGTTAGGACCATCAGTAGCTGCTTTTTTCTGTTAGCGCCTAAAAGTTAAGTAGCTTCTTTTAGTTCTCCTCTGCTCTCATTCCTTCCCATGTGACTGCTAGATTGTACTCTTTGACCAATCTTTTCCAGCAAAATGCAAACAAAAAGCCAAGAATAAATATATGAATTGCATTCTAACCAGAAATTAAAACACATAAAATAATATGGTATCTAGTTCTGAATACCTAAGGCTATACCTTATTTTGGTTTTGAGGTCATACAAAGCTTTGTCAAGTCACCTATAGTCCAGCTTACCTTTCTAATATGCTTAGACATTTGAGAAATGCCAGCTCCAGCTGTGTACCTTTGACACTGATTTTTTCATCTTAGAGACAAGAGATTTAACTCAATCAGGTATTTTCCAGTTCTTAAATTCTGTCGTTATTTCTTGAATTATACAATGTCTTGCCTATTCAAATCTGGTTTTTTTCATTTTTATTTATTTATTTTTGGCAGTGCTGAGGACTGAACCCAGGGCCTTAAGATTGCTAAACAAGCACTGTACCACTCCGTGTTGGTTTATTTTTGAGATAGGGGTTTCACCCAGCTGCTCTCCTATTCATGAGTAGGCTCAAGTGATCCTCCCACCTCAGCCTCCCCAGTAGCTGGGACTATAGGCATATCAAATCTGTTTTTATTTTTAATTCAGGCTCAGTTGTTCTTGTTTATTACTATCTATATATATTTTTTTGAGACAGGGTTTCACTATGTGGTTCAGGCTGTGCCTGGAACTCTATGTAATCCAGGCTGTCAACAAACTTGAGATCCTCCTGCCTCAGTGTGCCTAGTGCTACGATTACAGGAGTATGCCATCATTGCAGCTTAATATGATATTTCTATTTCCCACCTTTTACTTCTCTCTGCTGTTTTCCTTTTCCTTTTTTATTTTTTTTTGGCAGTTTGAACTCAGGGTCTTATACTTGCTAGGCAGCCACTTTACTACTTGAGCTACTCCACCAGCC